TGCCGAGGAGAAGAAGCTCCACAAAGACGAGAACCTTTCTCCAGAGGTGACAGAGAGAAAGCCTTCTCCTAGAGCTGGCACCCTGAATTTGGGCTTTTAGCCTCCTAAACTATGCAAAAATAAATTTCTGTTTGTGAAAGCCACCCACTTGTATTTCTGTTATAGCAGTACTAGATAAGTAAGACAGTTGCCACTGAGTCAATTCCGACTCATGGCGATCCCATGTCTGCAGAGCAGAACTGCTTCACAGGGTTTTTAAGTCTGTGTCTTTTGGAAGCAGACTGCCAGGCCTGTCTTCTGAAGTGCCTCTGGGAGGGTTATATACTTACATATATATCTGCTTGTATCTCTTTTCATTTCTTTTAAGTTTTTATTCTAAATTTGTATACCAAACAGTTTTAGAATAGCCATTCATGTGACTATCACAATCAACACTGTTCTTATGAAAATAACAAGACAAAATGAAAATGGCTACAGAGCTTAAAGTAAACCTACCTCTACGGTGAAGGTATCTTTGGTAGACTCATAGGTAACATTAAGAGTTAAAAGATGTCCATGAAATGAGGCACCATGAGGTAGAATAGTTCGTGGAACAGAGTAAAAATCCTTGAAGCAGATATAATAAATCAAACAAGTCAGATACAGTGCCACTGGTAAACATCATAAAAATACACATCTAACACATTTACTGTAGTAATATACTGAATGAACCTGCTTTAAAAGAAGAGAAGCTTACCTCTATAGTGATCACATAGCGTTCTGCCAGAAGCAGCAATCTCTCAATTATTACAAGTTTAGTGGATCTATGGATTTAAAAGAAAAAAAAATTTTTTTTTAAAAACATATTTGAGATGAATTGCTGAATTAAGCTCAATTCCAATCTGATTAACCAAAGCCACAACCACAGTTAGCACTCACTGGTCAAAGACTGAAATTTGCAGACTAAACTTCTCTTTCCCCCAGTAGGGAGGTGGTGAAGCCAAGTCACAGCTGTAGTGCACAGGTGGGATAAGGAAGGCAAAGCCTGCCCCTCCCCACATTTCCTTTCCTTCCTTCCTTCCTTCTTTTTTAAACAGTTGTTCCACAGATTGAGGATCTGAGTCTCTAGGCCTGTTTGTTCATCGACTCACCAAGAATGAACATATAGTGAGTCTGACTCTCATATAATGTTATAGCTAAAATATGCTGCGGAGTTCTGTAAACACATGGAATGTGACAAAGTTCTGAGCTGCCTGAAAATGAGAGGACAAATGCAAACCAGTAGGCATACCACAAGTAAGGAGTGCTGTTTGTTTTCATTACCCTAAGGGTGAAGGTGAAGGGAAGGACAAACAATTGTTCATCTGGCTTAAGTGACTATTCCATATAGTTAAAATATATGACAATTTGTTATCCCAAGGGTATTCAAAGTACTTAAGAAACCAGCACACACTGGGAGATGCAACCATCTCTAGAACAAGAAACAAACAGCAGTGGAGTGCTAAGCTGCAACAGGCTCTGAAAATGAGACCCAGGGTCTCTTTTGGTTGAAGACTTATGGAACTTACTTATCCATTTTGAAATAACAGGATTCCAATATTCAGCAGTTTATGGAGTTGCAGCTCCACACTTTATTTCCAAAACTGAAAACAGGTACTACCATTTTCTAGCAATTGGTCTGGTATGCTGATTAGGAGTATTGGAAATTTTACTTTAAAAAGAGTTGGTTAAACACAGAGTTCTGTCAAATACATTTAACAGAGTTCTAAATTCTTCCAGTCTACTGGCAGGAACTAGAAGCTACAATTCAGATTAGAAAATCTTCAGACTATCTAAGTGCTATAGGTAAATGAGTGCACTGATGAGTGAACTGTTTTAATTTTGCCTCAACAGTGAATTAAGTCACAGACAGCACTGCAAAGTACTGTACTGGAGAGAGAGTGACCCCTAGCCCCCTCCTCCAAAA